GGGAAATTGGATTATGGCCAGGACAGTGAAGAACAACACACATTCAAAGCAGTGTGGACATCCACCATCTTTGAACAGGGCACTGCTGTTTCCTACTCTGCCAGTGAACAGATTTGGTTGCAATGCAACCCACATACTGCCTTTGTTTTCTAAGAGGGAGATTAAATTTCTAGCAGGGCTTCGACTGGTAATTTTTCCCATTGCAGTTATGGTTCCGGTTCACCTACATTTTAAAAATTTGGGTCCATTCAGGTTTTGCTTTGTTGCCACGACTGAACTGGGCAGAACCAGTTTGAAGCCCTGCACTAAACGTTGTTTGTGAGATTCATCCAAGCTGTTGTGTTAACAGTAGTTTGTGCATTCTTGTTGCTCTGTAGTACTTCATCAGTGAATATACCATAATTATCCATTCTAACATCAGTGGACATTCAAGTTCTTTTGTAGTTTTGGCTATGATGAAGAATGCTGCTACGAACATTCTGGGATATATCTTTTGGTGAACATATGTATTTTTTTTTTTTTTTTTTTTTTTGCCTGTTCTGCTAAGTTGTCTTAGTCATCTAGTGCTGCTCTAACAGAAATACCACAGGTGGATGGTTTTAACAAGACAAATTTATTCTCTTCACAGTCCAGTAGGCTACAAGTCCAAATTCAGGGCATCAGCTCCAGGAAAAGGCTCTCTCTCTGTCGGCTCTGGAGCAAGGTCCTTGTCATCAGTCTTTGCTTGGTCTGGGAGCATCTCAGCGCAGGAACCTCAGGTCCAAAGGATGCGCTCTGCTCCTGGCAGTGCTTTCTTGCTGGTATGAGGTTCCCCTGTGTCTCTGCCCACTTATCTCTTTTGTATCTCAGAAGAGATTGGATTAAGACACTATCTAATCTTATAAAACTCATCAGTATAACCTCATCAGGTGACAGAGTTTACAACACATGCGGAAATCACATCAGATTTACAAAATGGTACACAATCTAACAATACTGGGAATCATGACCTAGCCAAGTTGACAGATGTTTTTGGGGGACACAATTCAATCCATAACATAAGTAGAGACATTTCTCAGCTCGGTTTGTATTCTAATTGTGGAAAGAACATTCTTAATCAGCACAGCGACACTGCATTAAGGCTTCTAAAATCCAAGTGATTAAAACTACCCAAGCTATCCTAATTCCTACCTTTCTCTAGGAAGTATATTATGTACTGTTGGCAAGCTAGATAAATCTCTCATCCTCTAGGTAAATGCAGTATCTTAGTTTTATTTATTTTTTAATTGTACTTTAGATGAAGCTTTCCAGAACAAACTAGCTTCTCATTAAACAGTTAGTACACGTATTGTTTTATGACGTTGGTTAACAACCCCATGACATGTCAACACTCTCCCTTCTCGACCTTGGATTCCCTATTACCAGTTTTCCTGTCCCCTCCTGCCTTCTAGCCCTTACTCCTGGGCTGCTGTGCCCCTTTAGTCTCATTTTGTTTTATGGGCCTGTCTAATCTTTGGCTAAAAGGTGAACCTCAGGAGTGACTTCATTACTGAGCTAAAAGGGTATCTGGGGCCATACTCTCGGGGTTTCTCCAGTCTTTGTCAGGTCAGTAAGTCTGGTCTTTTTTTTAATCAGTTAAAATTTTGTTCTACATTTTTCTCTAGCTCTGTCCAGAACTGTCTATTGTGATCCCTGTTAGAGCAGTCAGCAGTGGTAGCCGAGTACCATCTAGTTGTACTGGACTCAGTCTGGTGGAGGCGTGGTAGTTGTGGTCCATTAGTCCTTTGGACTAATCTTTCCCTTGTGTCTTTGGTTTTCTTCATTCTCCCTTGCACCCAAAGTGGTGAAACCAGTGTAGTATCTTAGATGGCCCCTCACAGGCTTTTAAGACCTCAGATGCTACTCACCAAAGTAGAATGTAGAACGTTTTCTTTATAAACTATGTTATACCAGTTGAGCTAGATGTTCCCTGAGACCATGGTCCCCTGTATATGCATTTCTGTTAGGAATATATTTAGGAGTGGAATTGCTACATTGAACATATGTGTATTTTCAGCTTTAGTACGTACTGTCAAACAGTTTTCCAATTACAGTCATGCATCGCTTAACATCCACGATACATTCTGTGAAATACGACGTTATGTGATTTGGACGTGATGCAAACACCATGTTATATATAGGCAGTCCCCAGGTTATGAACCTCTGACTTCCAGGCATCTTGTACTTAAGAACGGACTGCCATAAAGTCTAATATATTAAAAAAAATTTTTCTTTTTAATCATGCTTTACATGAAGGTTTACAAAGCAAATTAGTTTCTCATTAAACAATTAATACACATATTGTTTTGTGACATTGGTTGCCAACCCCATGATGTTTCAACACTCTCCCCTTCTCGACCTTGGGTTCCCCATTTCCATTCATCCAGTTTTTCTGCCCCTTCCTGCCTTCTCGTCCTTGCTCCTGGACTGGTGTGCTCATTTGGTCTCGTATACATGGTTGAGCTGGGTGTATTTTTGTTTGTTTTATGGGCCCTTCTAATCTTTGGCCGAAGGATAAACCTCAGGAGTGACCTCAGTACTGAGTTAAAGAGTGTCCGGGGGCCATATTCTCAGGGTTTCTCCAGTCTCCATCAGACCAGTAAGTCTGGTCCTTTTTTGTGAGTTTGAATTTTGTACTACATTTTCCTCCAGCTCTGTCCGGGACCCTCTATTGTGATTCCTGTCAGAGAAGTGGTTGGTTATAGCTGGGCATCTTCTAGTTGTGCTGGACTCAGTCTGGTGGAGGCTGTAAAAATATGAGTTAAATACATACAGTGGTTTGTAATAACTAATGAACATACTACTTTGTGACCCTCATGAAAACATTGCATGGTTTGGAAGTATTTCTTAAGTGTTACATCTGCTACATCCCATTCTTTGATCAAGATTTCTGAACTCTATTATGGGGCCACGGGCGTATATGTGGTTGGACATTGCTCGAATGGACATTATGCAGCGCCTGACAATACATTCCCAGTCACAGCAGTTTACACTCCCACCAGCAGTGTGCTTGACTTCCCATTGTTCCATAGCTTCACAGATACTTGGTATTATATGTATTGGCATTGCTATTTTCAATTGAACCATTCTGGTGGCTGTGAAATGTTATCTCATTTCAAATATTATCTTCTGTTTATTGTCCATTTGGCTGTCTGCCTTTATGAAATGTCTGTTCAAGTCTGCTGCCTATTTTTAATTGGATGCTGTGTCTTAAAAAAAAAAAAAAAGATTTGTAGAAGTTGTTTGTATATTCTGTTGTTTATATTCTGAATATAAATCCTTTGTTGAATATATTATTTCAGATATATTTTCCTAGTCTGTAGCTTGCCCTTTCTCTCTCTCTCTTTTTTTTTTTTTTTATTATTGTGCTTTAGGTGAAAGTTTACAGCTCAAGTCAATCTCTCATATAAAAACTTATACACACATTGTTATGCAACACTAGTTGCAATCCCTACGATGTGACAGCACACTCCCGCTTTCCACCCCAGGTTTCTTGTGTCCATTCAACCAGTTGCCCTTTCTGTTTTTTAATTGTTATCTTTCGCTGAACACAATTTTTTATTCTGAGGCAGTCCAATTTATCAGTTTCTTTATAGTTTGTGATTTTGTGTGTGTGTGTGTGTGTGTGTGTGTGTGTGTGCTATTTAAGAAATCATTGCCTACCCTAAAGTCATAAAGATACACTCCCGTGTTTTCTTCTGGAAGCTGTATTGTTTTACCTTTCACGTGTAGGTCTTTGGTCCTTCTCAGATTGTACGTATGAGCAAAAGTTTCTTCATTTCAATGCAGATCCGTTTTTCATTTTTTTCCCTTATGGTTAGTGCTTTTTAAGTCCTATTTAAGAAATGTTTACCTACCCCAAGTTCATGAAAATAGTACGAGCCTTCACTTTTTTTAATAACAGTTTTATTGAGATATAATTTATATACCATACAGTTCACCTGTTTAAAATATGTAATTTACTGGTTTAAGTGTATTCACAGAGTTGTGAAACCATCATCACAGTCAATTTTAAAACATTTTCATCACCCCAAAAAGAAACCCATGCTTATTAGCAGCCGCTTGCTATTCCCTCCTCCACCCAGCTTTAGGCAATCCTTAATCTAATTTGCTTCTGTCTCTATAGATTTGTCTGTTCTGGACACTTCATGTAAATGGAATCATATCATATGTGGCACTTTCTGTCTGACTTCTTGCACTTAACGTAATGTTTTCAAGGTACATCCATGTTGTAGCGTATGTCAGTACATCATTCCTCTCTATGGCTGAATAAGTATTTATTGTATGAATGTTCCACATTTTGTTTATCCATTCGTCAGCTGTTATAGACATTTAGGTTGTTTCTACTTTTTGGCTATTGTGAATAATGCTGCTATGAACATTTGTGTTCAAGTTTTTATGCATATATGTTTTCATTTCTCTTAGGAGGAGCCTTCTCTCTTTTTCAAAAAAAATTTTAGTAAAGATATATATAAAAGAAAGTTTGCCATTTTAATCATTTTTAAATGTACAATTCAGGAGCCTTTTTTAAATCATACACCAAGATATTTGGTGATGTGATGTCTATAAAGCCTTGGCCCCACTAAGTGCTCCATCAGTGATAGCTGGGTGCAGGTTAGGAAGTACCCATAGCAAGGGACACCCCAACGTAGCTATTAAGATTGTGAGGTGCATATGGTGAAAATGCCTATCTATCCCCACCCAGCATTCCGTCCCCAACACAAACATGTCTGCTCACACGCTCATGAAGGCACAGAGATACTTGGGCAAAGCCTCATCTGATTTGCAGGTCAAATCATGTAGAGATAGTGGTACACCAGAGAGGGGTAAGGAAAAGAGTCAGGAGTCCTGGGGACTACCCCTGCTGAGCTGCTAATTCGAGTGTGAGTTCCAGGACCTCAGTTTCCCTTCTCAGAGAGTGAACATAGCTGATGGTTCTGGCCCTTAAATGTGGCTCACTTGGCTTCTCTCCCATTCTCCAGGCTGCAGCTCTGTCAATGATCCTTTGAGTATTGAGGAGTCGCTGCTGCCCCTGGGGGCCCCTGTGCTGGAGTGGCTACCTGCCTGCCCCCAGCATGGCGTCCGACACTCCCGAGTCCCTGATGGCCCTCTGCACCGACTTCTGCCTGCGCAACCTGGATGGCACCTTGGGCTACCTGCTAGACAAGGAGACCCTGCGGCTACATCCAGACATCTTCCTGCCCAGCGAGATCTGCGACCGGCTTGTTAATGAGTGAGCAGGGCCAGCACTAGGGTGGGGGAGTGAGTCTTAGCTTCAGTGTGTGTGGAGAGAGAATGTGTCCACCATGTGGCGGTGTGGATATGAATGTGTGAGGGGGTGTGCAAGCACATGGATATTTGTGGGTACAAGAGAATATTGGTGTATCCATAATGGTAAAGGTCTGTGTGTGCATGTTGGTGTATGAGGAGGAGGGGTGTACATGTGAAGGAGTGAGTGTGTGTACACCTGTGGGCTTATACAGCACAAGGTGTGTTTAAGTATGAAAGTGCATGTTTGCATTTGTGTGCATGCATGTGTGTGTATGAGAACTGGCTAATGAGTATATGAACTACGTGAGAATGGACACATACAGGTTTACATGCCAGTACTAATAATGGATCCATGACCAGGGAGGAATCATTCAAAAACATCTTTAAACGGCCCATCTGAGGGACTTCCCACTGATAAGGGCTCCTAGAAGCATGATATATGTTCACTGACTGCCAGAAACTCAGCCTAGGTGCCCAAAAGGGAAATCATTAGACCATACAATTACACGTGAAAGTGGGAACCTGTGTGCAACCGAAGGACAGAGCCAGACTTGTAAATAATGTTCTGAGCATTCAGTGTGGGGCAGGTACTAGGTTGGACATTTTGCAGACCAGAATTATGTCCATCTTACAGATGCAGAAACTGAGGTTCAGAGAAGTTCAGTTACTTGTGGGGAATTGCCCAGGTAGTAAGCTGCCAAGCAAAAATATAGATTCCAGAGTGTTTGGATTCAAAACCTTTCCACCAGCCAGGATTCTTGCATGAGCTCATACCTCAACAGTGTGTTATTGAGGGCTTGCCCTGTATCCAGCTGGGAACTCCAAACCAATTGGCTTAACTCACCTGTTTGAAAGGGTCCTGGGAGGGGTTGATAAAGGAACTAGAAGTTGGCTTAAAGAAGATGATGAATGTGGCTGGGGGTGGAGCTGCTACTGCGACTTGAGTGGGGAGGAGGGTGCGTGACAAGAGTGTGCATTTGAAGAGGAAAAATATGTGTAGGTGTTTGTTATGGGAGTATATATGGGGGAGTGTATATGAAAGGTCCCTTCATCACCAGGAGGTCACCCAGAGAGCTGCCTCTGAGCTCCTGGTTCCTGGGGCACCCTTAATCCCAGAGCCATCTCGCATGTAGCGTAGTCAGGATCCAACCAGATACTGTTAGGAGGAGGAGGAGATTGCTGCTGGGGTGATCGGGGAAAGCTTCAGGGAGGGGAGGGCTCTTGCTGGGCCTTGGAGGAGGGTGAAGTTCCCTGTGTCCCTCCCCTGAGCCTTTCTTCTCTCCCAGGTATGTGGAGCTGGTCAATGCTGCCTGCAACTTTGAGCCGCATGAGAGCTTCTTCAGCCTCTTTTCAGACCCTCGCAGCACCCGCCTCACCCGCATCCACCTCCGTGAGGACCTGGTGCAGGACCAGGATCTGGAAGCCATTCGCAAGCAGGTGAGCCCTGCATCGCCAGGGTACCAGGATGCCATGGGGAGGCAAGCCCAGAAAGGGTCAAACCGGGAGTTGGGGCAGGGCCACTAGCCTCCAACCCAAGAATCCCCAAACCCTTCCAGAGCTCTTCCCCACTGTGAGGCCTAGGGCAGCGGGAGGGCAGAGGTGTTGACGGGGCTGTGCCTGCCACCAGGACTTGGTGGAGCTGTACCTGACCAACTGCGAGAAGCTGTCTGCCAAGAGCCTGCAGACACTGAGGAGCTTCAGCCACACTCTAGTGTCACTGAGCCTGTTTGGCTGCACAAACATTTTCTACGAGGAGGACAACCCGGGGGGCTGTGAAGACGAATGCCTCGTCAATCCCACCTGCCAGGTGCTGGTTAAGGACTTCACCTTTGAGGGCTTTAGCCGCCTACGTTTCCTCAACTTGGGCCGCATGATTGATGGGGTCCCTGTAGAGACCCTGTTGCGGCCGCTCAACTCGCTAGCTGCCTTGGACCTCTCAGGCATTCAGACGAGTGACGCGGCCTTCCTGACCCAGTGGAAAGACAGCCTAGTATCTCTTGTGCTCTACAACATGGACCTCTCAGATGATCATATCCGTGTCATTGTCCAGCTGCACAAGCTACGGTGAGCTGCCCAGCCCAGACCTCACCAGGGCTGCGGTGGGGAGGGGCTGGGAGGAAGGGAGTGGGTGTTGTCAGTCCCAGAGGGTTCATGAGCGAGCCCCTGGCCAGGCAGAGGCTGGGAATGGAAGAGACAGTCCCATTCCTTAAACCCAGTGCTTCAGCTGAACTGGGGCTGTTCAGGGCACCTGGGTCCCAGCAGGTTTTTCCCCTAGAATGCCCTGGAGCAGTTGTGGCAGGGATGGGCCCTCCCTGTTGTGGACTGAGGGCACAGAGGTCTACAAGATAGCCCCAACCTGTGTCTAGCTCCTGACCTGTGGCCCCACCCTCATCTCCAGACACCTGGATATCTCCCGAGACCGTCTCTCTAGCTACTACAAGTTCAAGCTAACTCGGAAAGTGCTAAGCCTCTTTGTGCAGAAGCTGGGAAACCTGATGTCCCTGGACATCTCTGGCCACATGATTCTGGAGAACTGCAGCATCTCCAAGATGGATGAGGAAGCGGGACAGACCAGGTGGGGCTGCAGGCAAGGAGCTCCTGGGAACCACCCTCAATGTTTTTGCTCTTTCTGCCAAGTGCTGTGCCTGGTGCTGGAGATAAAGAAATGAGTCAGGCCCTGCCCTCTCAGAGTCCATGTGAATTAGCAGAGGACAGACAAGTACGTAGGTCATTACAAAGGCTGTGGCTGGGGGAGTACAGAGTTCTGGTCTTGCCCTGAGGATCAGGAAGGAGGAAGCAGGAGAAGTGGCATCCAAGCCATCCAGAAAGGTCATTATAAGTTTGCAGGAGGAAGGGTGTTCTAGCAGAGGGAACAGCATGTACAAAGGCTGGAAAGGGAAAGCATGAGTGATTAGGAAATTACCAGACATTCATACTGACGGGAGCACAGTGTGGGAGTGGTGTTAAGAGATGAGGCTGCAGGGCCTAAAAGAGGGCATCAAGTAAATGCCTAGCCACCCCCAGGGAGACGCCCTCCTTTGCACTGAACCCAGGGCAGCCCCAGGCCCCAAGCCGTTGTGTTGACCCCAGCACCTTCTTTCCCCAGCATCGAGCCTTCCAAGAGCAGCATCATGCCCTTCCGGGCTCTGAAGAGGCCACTACAGTTCCTTGGGCTCTTCGAGACCTCTCTGTGCCGCCTAACGCACATTCCAGCCTACAAAGTGAGAGGCAGGGAGAGAAGCAGGGGTGAAATAGGGAGCCCAGGGAGAAGGGAGGAGGCTGGGCTGGAGGCACCAAGGTGCCTGCCCTGGGGCTAGAAGACTGAGTTGTGCTCAGGGGATCTCACCACCTGGCCTCTTATGGATTGTTCTGAACATGCCCAATCCCCAGGTAAGTGGTGACAAAAATGAGGAGCAGGTACTGAATGCCATAGAGGCCTACACGGAGCACCGGCCAGAGATCACCTCGCGGGCCATCAACCTGCTTTTTGACATCGCACGCATTGAGCGCTGCAACCAGCTACTACGGGCCCTGAAGGTTAGCCCCAACCCTCAGGCTCCTGTCCTCCTCCTGCACTCTCGCCTCGGCCCAGGGCACTGGCAGTCCTTCCTCCGTAACCCTAGCTACTTCACCCCCGTCCCCCACCACCCACCCCTAAAGTGTAGCTCTGGCCTCGTTCAGGCCCCGCCCTCATGCCTTGCTCCACCCAGGGCCCTAGCGCACAACATTTGGGCCACCGCTACCACGGCCCCGCACTAGTTCTGCTCCTTCATGCTGGTTTCTGCCCTCAGAGAGCAGGATGGGGTAAGCCGTGCCCTAGACCTGCCCACGCCCAGCTCAAAGAGCCCTGGACCTGCCCCACATAGCTTTAACAGAATTTACTAACCTGGGCCCCTGTCCTGTCGCTCTACAGCTGGTCATCACAGCCCTCAAGTGCCACAAGTATGACAAGAACATTCAAGTGACAGGCAGCGCTGCCCTCTTCTACCTGACCAATTCTGAGTACCGCTCAGAGCAGAGTGTCAAGCTGCGGCGGCAGGTCATCCAGGTGGTGCTGAATGGCATGGAATCCTACCAGGAGGTGACGGTGAGCCCCCAACCCACCAAGGCCCCGCATGCTCTAGCCCCAGCTGCCCCTTTTCCTGTTCACCCTGTGCCACAGCCCCGCCCTTCACACTGCCATACTGGCTCTCACTTCTTCTCACTGGCTCTGTACTGCCTCCTCCCGACCCCCTTTCCCACTGCCTCACTCCCAAACTCCTTGCCCAGACTTCTCACCTGCCCAGTCTTCCCATCACCTATTGCCACCCGCCCCCTCCATTAGACTCGGCTCCACTCAGACACCTTGGGGCCTGTCCTCCTGTACCAGAGCCTCTGCTTGTGCTGTCTGCCCTGCCACTCTGCCCAGCAACACTGCTGGGGCTTACTTTTTTCAATAGCTGCTTTTACTATAAATCCATGTTACACAAACAGTACACAGAGTATGATCCTATTTACTAAACATATATGCATAGACTAGAATCCAGAACAATAGATATCCAGTGTTAACAATCTCTAGGTGATGGTGGGATTACGGGTGGTTTTTATTGTCTTCATTTTGTATATCTGTATTTATAATTTTTCTACGGTAAATTTTCTATTACTTTTATATATAGTAGTACGTTTATAGCAGTAAACCAGTAGTAGTTTAGTATAATACTTTTATAGTACTGGTTTATAAAAGTAATAGAAAATCTACTGTAGAAAAATTATAAATTTTCTATTACTTTTATAGTGTTTTACTACTATAAAAGTACTATACTGCTGCTGCTACTGGTTTACTACTATAAAAGCACAACTATAAAAAAAGTAATAGAAAATTTACCATAGAAAAATTATAAATACAGATATACAAAATGAAGAAAATAAAAACCACCTGTATTCCCACCATCAGCCAGAGATAGCCACCATTAACAAATGCTGTCATTTGAGATGGCCATCATTAATACTGGATATCTATCATTCTGGATTCTAGTCTATGCATGTAAGTTTAGTAAATGGGATCATACTGTGTGTACGGTTTGTGTAACATGGATTTTTAATTCAACAGTGCTTTGTGCATATGAACATCTCCCATATCAACAAACATGTTTTTACAACATTTTAAAAATAATGGTTTGTTATGAATTACAAAAGTAAGATACTTGTTGCTTAAAAAAAAAAAAAAAACTTTTCAAATAATACGAAAATATATTGAATAGAAGGTGAAAGTCATTCACAATCCCATCTCTCCTCTCCCAGAAAGCTGGTCTTCACAGTTTCGTTTCATAATTGTTAACGTCAGCACAGTGTTCAGCACCGCTGGAGTGGCCCCTTTGTTGGGACTCTGTGTTGGAGCTTGGAGCCAGTGGCCAAGCCCGGTACTCGTGCACTTGCAGGACGGGACTTGGCTGAGTGCATGGGCTGTAGATACCGAATCACTCCCCCATGGTTGACTATTTAGGTTGCTTTTTCGTTTTTTGCTGTTTCAAACAATGTTCTGTTGACTATATTTGATTACCTTTGATTATACCCGTATAATACATTTCTAGAGGTAGAATAGCTAGGGCCAAGAGTATGTTTATTTTTAAAGCATCTGTCATTTGTCCTCCAGAAAGGCTTTGGTGCTCTATCCTCCATCTGCAGGAATCAGAACACCCCCTTCCCTACTGCCTTGCCAACTCCAGGCTTTAGAGTGATTGTTCTTTCTACATTGAGATTGATTTTATAACCAGGTAAAAGGGATGTCTTTTATTTTTTTAATGAAAAAAAAAAAAATGCTAGCTGAAGATTCCCCAAATAAATTAGTAAACCTTATCAGAGAAATGGAAATTAAAATAACAAGACATCACATTTCATCTCAAGAGATTGATTGATGATATTCATTGTTAGCAAGGGTGGGGGAAAGCACCCCCGTACAGTTTTTACTGGTGAGTTGTATATTGTACAACATTTCTGGACGGCAACTGGTAGAACGTACCAAAACTACACATGCATTTATCTTTTAACCTAATTATTTCAACTTTTTACGATAAGTATTGCTTTTATTATTTAAAATAATTTTTTTTAAATTAAAAAGTGCATGTATATTGGGGGAAACGAAGACAAAAAGTTAACCACAGGTAATATCCTCCAAATTACATGATGAATAAAATACGAATTCCAATATCTAGTAAGAAAGGAAGGAAATTGAATTACAAGGAAAGAGTGCTGAGTTCACTGTAAAAAGATAAGCTCACAGACAACTCAAAGAGGTGAGGATCTGTAGTGATTAGAGCTCTCAGACACTTCTAGTGGGAGTGTAAATTGGTACAACCACTTTGGAAAACTGTTTGGTGTTGCCTAGTAAAGTTGGAGACATGCATACCTTGTGACCCGGCAGTTCCACTCCCAGACATGTGTGCCCTAGAGAAACCCGTAACATGGATGGCACCAGAATGCATGTTCGCAGTAGCGAAAGACTGAAGTCAACCCGACATCTATCGTGAATAGAATGGATTAATGTATCAGGGTGTCATCACAGTGGAATACTGTACTACAACAAAAAACGAGTGAATGTCAGCTACATATAACAACAGGATTGATCTTACCTATGACTGAACAGAAAGAAGCAGGGTGCTAAAAAATCATTCATGGAGAAAAGCAGGGATAATGGTCATCTCTAGTGGGGAGGGAGGGGCTTTGGATCAGGAAGGGACATATGGGGACTTCTGGGTGGTAGTTTTTTTTGACACAGGTGGTGGTTACATGGATGTTCACTTTGTAATTATTTGTAAAACTGTACATTTTTGTTTTATGTACTCTTTCATATGAATATTATATATTTTTTAAATGTTTCTTTTTTTAAAAGCCTTGTAATCTTCTCTTCCAGAAGCCTTCCTAGACCTCGACAGCTCTGTATGATCTCATGTCTCTAGAGAGCCCCTCAAGTCTGGCTTCAGAGTCTGACCCTGAACGTGTTTTTCTTGTCTTCTGTCCCGGCCCAGGTTCAGCGGAACTGCTGTCTGACCCTCTGCAACTTCAGCATCCCTGAGGAGCTGGAATTCCAGTACCGCCGGGTCAACGAGCTCCTGCTTAGCATCCTCAACCCCACACGGCAGGATGAGTCGATCCAGCGCATCGCTGTACACCTGTGCAACGCCCTGGTCTGTCAGGTGGACAACGACCACAAGGAGGCTGTGGGCAAGATGGGCTTTGTTGTGGTACGTGCGGGGTGGGCAGCCCGTCCTCACTTATTCCCTTCTTCCATAGCCCCACTGCCTGGATTCTTGCCCAGTAACTAAAGAGCCCTCTCCCACCACAGTCCATGGGAGGAAAGTCTCCAAGAAGGGCCCAGCGTGAGCAGGCAGGGGCCTATGCTGAAGCATGAGGATTTAGGCTAGATCAAAGAAAGAATTTCCTAATAGTGACTGTTGCTTAGAACACCTCTAGAGTTCCTTCACCTAGAACACTCTGTCATCCTCTCTTAGTAAGTTCTATTTTACAAGTCACTCCTGCGTCCTCAGACAGGTTGAGTGCCCCTGTTATACCATCTCAGTTGGGATTAAATAGGTATTTGAAGGACTGTCTGCTTAATGGTGGGCCCCCACTTACTGTGAGCTCAGTAGGGAAAAGACATCGTGCTTGTTTCTCTCATCATGTCCCCAGTGCTTCCTAGCATAGGGCCTTATGCACAGTAGGGAAATGATAAATATTTGCTTAAGAAAGGAAGGAAAGTATGAGGAGGGACTAGAAAGCATTTGATCTCCTCTCATTTTATCACTGGGGAGGCTGACGCCCAGAGAGGAGGAGAGCCATCCCCAAAGTCACACCAGCATCAATGGTCATGCCAGACAAACACACAGGCCTCCTAGTGCTAAATACTAAGGCTCTGTAGATTGAATAAGGAGACTTGGTGATGCAGTGGTAAAGCACTCAGCTGCTAATCAAAAGGTCAGCAGTTCAAACCCACCAGCCACCCTGCAAGAGAAAGATGTGGCAGTCTGCTTCCATAAAGATTTACAGCCTTGGAAACCGTATGGGGTAGTTCTCCTCTGTCCTGGAGGGTCGCTATGAGCCAGAATCGACTTGATGGCTTTGGGTGGGTGGATTGAATGTCTTCAAACAGCTTCCCAAATAGATATGTAGATTTGGTCTTGTCAGGATGTTTTACCAGAAATTGAATCACTGACTCTTCAGATCCTCTGTCCGTCTTGGGTTCTTGGGAGACATGGTAGTTCTTAGGCCCTGGCCCTCCAACAAACCATCTTCTCTGCCCACAGACCATGCTGAAGCTGATTCAGAAGAAGCTGCTGGACAAGATAGTAAGTTGACTCTTCATGGAGCCACTCTGCCCCTCCCCTGCCCTGAGAGGGGACTGGTTTGTCCCTGAGGGTGTCTGTATTTTATCAGGGAACCCCCTCACCAGGCACCAGGAGCCTGCAGGGTCCATTCAGGTAAGCCTTGCTGAGCCCTCCCCTCCCCCTTGCAGTGTGACCAGGTGATGGAGTTTTCCTGGAGTGCCCTGTGGAACATCACAGACGAGACACCTGACAACTGCGAGATGTTCCTCAACTTCAATGGCATGAAGCTCTTCCTAGACTGCCTGAAGGTAGCACCCACTTCCACCAGCAGCAGCTCCTTGACCAGACAGGGTCACTCTTCTTTCCTTGGGTTATCCCACCAACCAAATCCACCAGCACCAACCCCCTGCCATGGTTCCTACTAAAGAGCAATGGGGGCAGACTCAGGGTCCAGCAGCCCAGGATGTGCTGCTAACAGAAATTCCAGAGATCTTCCCTGAGCCAGACAGTCTGGATGGTCCTCTCTGGGAGCCCTCCCTCCAAGGGAAAACCCAGCCCCGCCTTCTCACCAGTGGTTTCTCAGACTGCCCAGAGCTGGCTGGGGCCCACTGGGACGTCAGCTGGACAGAAGACAGAACTCTGTCCAGTAGGGGTCTGTTCATCCTAAAACTCATCCTGTATTTTCCTTGCTCCTTGTTCCCTTAAACTGGTATTTGGAGCTTTGGTAAATAGAACCACATTTGTCCCATTCACAGCTTTATAGGTCAGCTCTCCGCTCAGCCTTTGTCTTTGTGGCAGGGAGCCTCTACCTTCTACTCCCTTATAATGTGTACCCACCATTACCCCAGGAGCACTAGAAGATGGCAAGTGCATATCGCATCCCTTTAGTCTATCTGGAATGGCCAGACAGATGCCCATAAAGCTTTTAGGTAATAATACCAGACACTTAAGTAATTAAGTACTAATTAATGTGGCCCCAATGGCCCTTATTTTGCCAGGAATTCCCAGAGAAACAGGAACTACATCGGAATATGCTGGGACTCTTGGGGAATGTGGCAGAGGTGAAGGAGCTGCGGCCCCAGCTGATGACTTCCCAATTCATCAGCGTCTTCAGGTTGATATCCCCGTTTTCCCTTTTTGCATTGGCTGCCAGGATGTTCCGAGTTCTAGTCTGTTTCAGCAATTCCCCTTAGCCTCGATTTCTGTTATAAATATCACCTTCCCTCTCGAACTTGGTTTCTGGTTTCTTATTCTTTCAACCCTCTGTTAAATGGTCCTGTCATAGCTGTATCTTAAACCAAACCAAACCAGTTGCCGTCGAGTTGATTCCGACTCATAGTGATCCTACATCTTAAGACCTGTATCTTAAGTGACCTCAAATCCATTTTAAAAGTAGTCTGGCTATAGATAATAAACTGTAAATAAATAGTACCTCTGGCATCTCATTTGTAAGTTAGGGTCCAGCAACTGGTACCTGAAGCAGGACCAGGGAAATGAGACTCCACTTTTCTCTCTTCTTCTCGGCAGCAACCTGCTGGAGAGCAAGGCAGATGGAATTGAGGTCTCCTACAACGCCTGCGGCGTCCTCTCTCATATCATGTTTGATGGGCCTGAAGCCTGGGGCATCTGCGAACCTCAGCGGGAGGAGGTAGAGGAACGTATGTGGGCAGCCATCCAGAGCTGGGACATCAACTCACGGAGAAATATCAATTACAGGTGTGTCCTGGAAGGGCATGGGGCAGGTAACTGGGGCATGAGGCCCATCCCAAGCAAAGTCTGGTCAGAGCTTATTGCCTTTCTTTTAGTTCTCTTCCAGCTTTTTCTCACATACTGAGGTAAAGCCCACATACAGTAAAGAGCATAAGGTGCACAACTTACATGTCCAACTGGGGGCATTTTTCGTGCACATCGACACTTTTATATACCCAAAGCCTGCTCTTTACAAATAATTTTAAGTAGTTACTACACTTTGATACATGTTTATGTGTGAAAAAGGAGAAAATACAGATACAGGAAACAAAGTAGAAATCATTCATAATCTCATCCTTTGAAAGTAAACCCCTGTAACGTCGTATTGCCTCTTCAAAGGTACCAAAGATCTCTCTCCTTCTAGCTGTTTTCCCTGCACAAATTTAATTACTTTAAATCAAGCTGGCATCAAGGTTTGGGTCTCCCTTATCGTTTTGTAACAGCTGAGTCACTCTCTGTGTATGGATGGGCCATCCTGTGCTGATTTACATTTTACTTGAAAACCCATATTAGGAGGAACAGGCTTATGCTTATAGCTTTGCCCACATTCCAGTCACCTTAGTTCCTGAGGTGGGAGGAAGTAGAATTGCTGGTCCAAAGGGTTGGCGTGTATATTCTTCAGGCATTTGGACTCTGGCTCCAGAAGGCCCATAGAAGGCCCTTGTGAGAAGTGCAGTCACACTTTCTTCTGCCTCCCAGCTACCCCTCCCCGCACCAGGGTTGAGTCTCTCCTCTTTCCTGAGGTCCCCAGCTTTTTACACACCTAATCTGCATCCCTCCTACCTCCCTTACATGCTCATTCTTTTGCTGCTCACAAGGGACCTCCCTTTGTGGAGTCTGAATGCAGGGTGTCAGGGAGCCTGACAGAGGGGTGAAGGGCCAGGTACCCCCTTCTTCCCTGCATCCTGCTCGTGGTTTGCCCTTAGGACCTTTCAGGGAGGAGAAACCCTGGACAAGAGAAGACTTCCCCTACCTCCGCCAGACATCAGAAGTGACCTTGATTTCTCTCCTCACAGGTCCTTTGAGCCAATCCTTCGCCTCCTTCCCCAGGGCATTTCCCCTGTCAGCCAGCACTGGGCAACCTGGGCACTGTACAACCTTGTGTCTGTCTACCGTGAGTACCCACTTGCCCTTTTTTCAGACACAGGGGGATGCACCAGCTGAAAGCAGACTTGTCCTCAGGGAGCTTCTCGTCCAGGAGGGGAGCACTGAGAGAGCTGATATAAGCACTTGTGCCTCAGAGGAAAGCCCTCCCCTTCCCAGCATTTGTAGGATGCCCAGCAGAAGCAGGCCTGGCAGTTAGGAAGGCCCACCCAGAGTTCCCAGTCAGCTTTCTTAATGCGTCCTGCATCAGTGTGAGTGAATAGCCAAAAATCACAAGGCATTGACAGGAGCCTTCTGCAGGACAGGGTAAGACGAACTCAAACAAAAGGGAAAACTAACCCCTGAGAAAACAGACATCAGAGAGAACATTAAAGCAACTCTAATTTGTATCCTCAAAGAGAGTCCCACACTCAGGTAGAAAAACCTGAACCGTCCTTTGCTTGCACAGAGACAGTTTTTAGGGGAGAGGAGAAAGAGGGTGCAGCACTAAGAGATTTTGATGGAAGACCAGCTTTAACCTCTAGTTCTCTCCCTTACTAGTTATGTGACCTCGAGCAGGTTATTTAACCTCTCTGTGCCTCAGTTTCCTCATCTTTAAAATGGGGGTAACCGTAACACCTACCTCATAAAATTGGTGTGAAAAGAGACCAATGTAAAGTGTCTAGCCCAGTACCTGGACTGTCGAGACTGCTCCATCCTCTTAACTGGCAGAGTGGATAAGAGTGCAGGCTCTGGAGGCAGACTGCCTGAGTTTGAAACCTGGCTCCACGCTAGATTTGTTACTTTGGATGGGTTTCTCAACCTCTCTCTGCCTCAATTTCCTCATCTTTAAAATGGGATAATAATAGCATAGACCTCATAGAGTTGTTGTGAAATAAGACACATAAAGTGCGTAGAACAGTGCTTGGCACATACCGACTATTCAATAAACAGCCTTTTTTGTTATTACTGTTATGTTAGCCTTACTAAAAAAATAGCACCTTACCTCAAAGAGGCAGCGCAGCATGGAGAAAAGAGCCCTGAGCTGGGATTCCCTCAGACCTCTGGGGTGACTTTACATGAATTTCTTCACCTCTCTGAACGGTAAAGAAGAAATAAAGATGGAAATTATAAAAATAACTCCTTTTGCTTAAAGCTGCTGGAGGTCCAAATAAGATGCCTGTGTTCTCTGTGGAGTGTAAAGCCCTGGATGCTGAGCAGTAGAATGTTCTTTGCTGGAGTGTGAACATGAAACCACTCAGTAGGAAGGGTTGGTGGTTCCACCTAGTTAACATCTCTTAGTCATTTATCTCCAACCTGGCTGGTCACCAGAATCACCTGGTGGTATTTTGTTGAAAATACATATAGATATAGGTCCTTGGATCTGCTGAATCAGACTACCCAGGGGAAGCCTTAAGAATCTGTATTTTTACAAAAACTTCTCAGTACCATCATGTTGAGGAGCACTAGTTTGGGTGATACTTTCTGTATCTAGAAAACAAATGCAGCAACTCGAAGTCAAATAGGGAAGAGCCCTTTCCAAGGCCTTGCCACCTGCTTCTCCTCTGGTAGACACAGGAACTCTGGCCCATGCAGCTGGGTAAATAGGATTCATATTCGGTTATAGCAGGGCCCTTTGCCCAGGCCTGCATCTTCATCCTTCCCCTCAGGGAGGGTGGTCCGCAGAGCAAGCGTGGGTTTCTAGGCCCCAGGCTGATAGAAGACCCACCCTGATAATACGCCTGTCTGCCCCTACCCTACAGCGGACAAATACTGCCCTCTGCTGATCAAAGAAGGCGGGATGCCCCTTCTGAGGGACATGATCAAGATGGCGACTGCCCGGCAGGAGACCAAGGAAATGGCCCGGTAAGAGACAGGCAGTGTGTTTCTACTTAGAGCCTTGATTTGGGGGGACTTGAGGGACACAGTGGGGAACTGAGGGATACCTCTGGTGATTAGGAATGGCTGAAATTTGTAGGGGTGACTCGGGGTTGAGTATGTAGGTGGACAGTGTATTGATGTCCAGCTAGGGACTCCTTCAGTATCATTTTGGCCACAATGTGGCCAGAAACTAGATGATCAACCGCTAAATGGAACACTGTTGCCCTAATTTGTAAGCTTGGTTTTCTTTTATTCCCACCAAATTCCATCCTCTCATCCCAGGTCAGAATTTTTCGTTACTTTTTGCCACAGACGTTCCAACTAAGGAGAGGACACGGCGTGGTAAAATATACTGTAGAGATCAAAACAGGGCAGTGTGTAAGTTTCCGAATGTGACAGTCACTGACGTGGCAGAGTTGTCAGCCCTTTCATTGCTGTGTGGTTTTAGACAGAATCACATCGGCCCTGAGTCTTTCATCCATCAGCGCACAAGAGAGACTCAGGGACACAACGTGTCAGAATCAGCAGTAACTAACTTGCTTTGTTCAGAATCCACTCTAGAAGAGACAGTAGTTCACCCTAATAAACCTTTGTCATAGTTCTAAACACGGTGTAGAATAAAAAGTAACGTGGAGGAAGGGTCTGTAGTTCAGAGTTTCTGCAGACAACTCACCAAGTTGGGGAACATTGGCTGATTCTGCCAGTACTTTTGGCAAAAGGCACTGCTTAGAAATTAATTGCAATTGAGAAAGGTAAAATGATTGGCTCTCAAACTTAATCTCTCTAAAGAATCACCTGGAAAGATTGTTCAAAATATACAGGCTTCACTCCCTGGAGTTTCTTTTCTGTGGATCTGGGAGGTGGGCCTGGAAATATTCTTTTTTAACATGTATTCCAAGAAATTTGAGAAGCACTGAGTAAGGCCAGCCAATAACCTATCCCAGTCACGTTAAACATTTCTCCAAGACCTGAAATGTGTATCTGAACTGGTCGACCTGTTTGACAGTAAGGTTTGAATGACATTTTAGTCATGTGGGTAGCGCTTGAGAGAACACTTAGGAGAAGACATTCCACTTGTCCACGGCTCCCTGACCTTCCTCCAGGCATCCCTTACTTCCTAAGAGGTATTAGGCACCTCCTTAGTGCCTTGAGGCTACAGTGAATCCCACCTCAGAGTTTAGTACTGAGCAGGAAGACTGGGCCATTTAGGGTACACCTGACCATAATGGGGAAGTGGTTCCAGAGGTCAGTCTGCGATGGGCAACAGACTCACTCTGAGCACGAGTGGTGGTTCCCAAATGCCACGCTAGGCCTGGCTACTGCAGGGTGTCTGGGGCCTTTGTGCAAGCAAAGTCCCCAGCCCTAGCCCAGACCTGCTGCTGAATCAGGATCTCCGGGTAAATATGTGTGACCTAGATTCTCTGGGTGACTCTGATGTGCAGTCAGTTTGGGGGCAACTAGTGGACTTTTGGGAAGAAAAAGGTCTGGAGGCATGGGGAAAATGGAGAAGATGTTACTAAAGACCTGAGCTCATTCAGGGGATCCCCTAAACACAGATGCAGATGCCCTGGAACTGAGGGGCAGGAGGAGAGGGATATGAGAAAGGAGGAGAGGAGAGGGTAGTGATTATATTCGTGGCCACAGATACATTTCCTGGTGCTTTGTGCATGCTGGCCACTCTGCCAAGCGCTTTATCCACATCATCTCAGTCAGGGTCAACATCATTGTTAACTTTTGCTCACCCAGCTATCTGATCACCCAGGAGGGACCGGGCTCAAGCCCACCCTCCAATCTTCTCTCTCCCCATTGTCTCCAGCAAGGTGATTGAGCACTGCAGTAACTTTAAAGAGGAGAACATGGACACGTCCAGATAGAGGCCTCTGCCCTTGCAGCTGCCATCACTCTGGACCACAAGGCCAGGAGGAAGCACTCTCAAGCAACCCAGCTGGCAGACCCCCTTCCAGGGAGCCTCCCATGAGATGAAGAGGCACGGGGGACATTTTGCACAACCGATGCTTTTCCTTAACGTTAGTGAGATATATATATTATATATATATATATTATTTTTTTTTTTTTTGGTTAGGAAGTGTGAACTTTTGTGTGTATCATTTCTGTACAAAAACAAAAGAAACTCTCCCTGAGTCTTTGTAGCTTCCTTGGCCATTCGCAAGCCCCAGTTCAAAGCCTTCATCGCTGCCGCACTCACTCCTACCCCAACCAGGCTAAATGCCTATGACATTGTGAGTGTCCAGCCCTTTCCCAGTAAAATCAGACCCTGCCCTCACTTTCTGTTATGAGAGGCAGCAGGCCTTTAATAGCTCACTCCAGCACCCCAGCCCACCCACCAAAGCCTGAGAACCCCATCTGGGCCCCTCAGCTCAGCTGGTGGGGATTGGGGATTAAAACTAACCCCACTGGGTCTCCCAAATGCCTTGGTGCTCCCAGCTGTGGGCCATCTGGGGCAAGAAATTGAGCCATTCCTAGGCCTCAGCCTGGGCAGCCCCAGCCACAGAGGACCCACAAGGAGCAGGGCCCACTGTGGCCCTGCTGCTCTCTGGCCAGGCCTGCCTGAGGCCACGCTGCTATGGAGGCTGCCTCCTAGTCTCCTACCAGGTCCCAGGTTGTTGAAGGCCCCACCCCAGGGATGGTTAGAACTCAGGGGCAGATTCCACGCCCCTTCTGCCAAACATATCCAGAACCTACCCCCAGCCCTGGAAGCCAGTACCTTCTGGGGCCAGGGGCTTGCTCCCTCACTCCATGGCCCCTCATCTGCCCGCAAACACCCAAGGTGCCCAGGCCTTCCCACCAGCAGAACTGAGCCTGCCACACTCGCCCCTGCTTGCCCTCTCTCAGGGGCAAGTCGTCCCACTTGCACGCCAGCCTTTCACTGTGGCAACAGGCAGGCACACCTCCAGACCAGCACCTGGAACACCTTGCCGGCACAGCTTGGCCCCTCCATCCCTGCTCCCACCCTGCCCTGCAGCTTTACCTTGGAAACCTCTGCGCTGTGTTTCAGAGAAGTATGAGACACAGATGTATCTCTATCTTGTGTAACTCTGAATTGCTTCTCATCGGGACATACGGGTGGTGAGTGGAGCCCGCCTGGAACCAGTGGGCCTGGAGAGCAGAGCTAACCCTAAAGGCAGCCCTTGGGGAACGTCATTTCTTCCCCTCTCCTTCCCTGGGCCTGATTTTGGATTCTCCTAGCACTTCTGCTTCTAAGTGGAACACGCTAGGTTTGCAGCCTCAGGGGAGAGGCAACTGGCCTTTCCTCCTGGAGCCCTTCCCTCCCAGCCCAGGAAGGTGGCAGCTGCCTCGTCCATGTCCCCAGGTTGGCAGATGGACTGCCTCTGCCTCTCCCTTCTATGCTCATCTGGCTCGAGCCAGACCCCAGCGAGCTCATCCCGCATTGCTTCACCACCTGGGGCCTGGTAAATGTCTGTAATTTGGGATGTTACAGAAATACATTTTTGTGCAAAGTGCAGAGGAGCAAGCGTCTTTTTTATGGAAGGGATGAGGGTAGCTAGCCTGGCTTCCAAGGTGAGGAGAGAGCCTTGGGCCCACATGCTCGGGCAGTGGGCCTTGTGGGTAATTCTGTGGCGGGGAGGGATATTTTCCGTCGGTTTGTGTGCTCAGCCACAGGGCCAATCTACTGCAGGCTGGGAACAGGTGGCAGAGCACGCTGAAGTTCTTGTTCCCTTGAATACAGCTGGCACCTGGACCGACGGGGCCCTGCTCAGGATGGCTCAGTGTGGTGGTAGAAATGGATGGTAAATATGAGAATATGACCCAGTGTGCGACATGTACGGGAGGGGAGCACAGAGGCGGTCCTTCCTGCAGGTGGTGGGTGTGTGCTGGGGGTCAGGGAAGACTGCAGTTTGCTGGGCAACAGTGTTTCAGGGGGAGGAAAGAGAGGTGTCAGGCAAGAGACAGCACGGAGTTCTCCCTAGAGGAGACAGCCAAGCTGAGTCCGTGAGAAGATGAGGCTGCTGGGCCTCGCCCTGGGAGCTTGGGGAAGGAGCATCCTAGACAGAGGCCCTGCTAGAAGGGCCCTGCAGGAAGAACAGTGAAGCATCCGTGTGGCATAGCTAAGTAAAGGAACAAGGGAGCAAGCAGGAGAAGTAGCTGGGGCCAAATCATGTGACATGACCAGACTCCGGCTCAGCCCAGCACAGTTGTGGTTTATACCTGTCATCCCAGTGTCACTATTAAATGTGCCCTCTTTCACTGTCAAAGGTGAAATAATAAATTATATGGTTACATTCCTCACAGGCCACACGAGAGTGTGCATTTTCTTTCTACATGAGGATAAGCTATTGGACCTGCTATTGGGGAGCATCAAGACCTGATTAAACGTATTTCTGGAACCAGAGCATTCTGGCTTCTCTCTCACCCTCCTCATGGGGCTGAGCCCTCCTCTTCTTCTCCCTGAGCAGGGCGCTGGGCCAGGCCTCTCCCTCCTCTATCTATGACCCACCCCATCCTCCTGCCACTGGCCGCTGGCCCACTGGGCAGAAGGGGCATCAGGGACCATGAATTCTGTCCTTGGATTCTCATGGGCAGTCAGTGTCTGGGAGGGAAAAAGGGCAGTGCCAACACCCTTCATTTATGTGCCAGGCCCTGTGCTAAATGCTCTATGTACACTCTACTTCTTTATTGTAATCTTCATAATACAGCCGTCTCTGGGTTAGAAATGTACAGACAACTCGTACTGGCCCTTTAATATTATGTAAATTTGCCCTCACTTTGAAACTATTGAACCAATCCCTACTCCTACTCGCAACAAATTCTTCATGACAATCACCTTCACTTCACTTGCTGCATGTGCAACCTTTAAATCATTGAAAAGGCTCTGAGCCTTTTCTTGCACTAAACTATGGCTAAATAACAACCATATGCACCTGTTCCAACTCACCTACAAATTTGACTTAAAGACACAGAAACAGATCACATTCGTACCCTGGGGACTGCCTGTAACCCATTTTACAGATAAGGACACTGATACTCAGAAGTGAACTGACTTGCTTCAAGGTTACTATAGTAAAGGAGGGGAAAAAAAGGAGTTGCCCAAATGTGCCAGGCTCTCCTCCTCTAGCTCCGCAGCCTTGGTACGTGCTGTTTCCTGTGTCCTGAACATTTTTCCCTCTCTGCTTTGCCCGGCTAAACCTACTCACCCCATCTCAGCACTTATCACATCACTCATCTCGAGGGGCCACCATTGCCTTGGCTGCCTCTCCCATTAGACTGTGTGCTAGGTCAAGGCTTAGTTGTGGCCCAGCACACAGCACAGGGCCTGGCACATTAATGTGTCAGATGAATGGACGGGACGGAGGGAGGCTAGGCAGGACTTTGGAGCACTCTACAGCCCAGGGTGCAATACTCTGTTTCACAGGTGAAGAAATTATATTTTATGAGTCAGTGCCGTCAGAGATGACCCACCCAGGGACGGATTAACCAGTAAGCAAGGTATGCACAGACAATGAATAAGGAAGACTGAAGAAGAATTGATGCCTATGAATTATTGTGTTGGCGAAGAATATTGAATATACCATGGACTGCCAGGAGAATGAACCCAACTGCCTGCCTGTCCAAATATGCCACCCCCAACTGTAATTGACTTATTTTTTCTCTCTTTCCCAGCAAGATGTGCGCCCCTAGAAGGCAGGGGTCGGTCTGGACCCCTAGACCAGTTAGGGTGCTTTAGATAACCTCAGGAGTGGCAGGGCTCACAGAACCAGACAAGCTGGTCAGCCAGGCCTCAGGAGAGATGTGCACCAGGGAAGCTTGGGAAATCTGGGGAACAGGAGCCAGTGGCTGGACTCTCCAGGGCACTGCCATCAGGGTGATTAATCCGTCCCAGCTGATCTCCTTCCCTGTATCCCTATGCTCAAGATGCAGAGCCCCGGATCCCAATAGAGAGTGATTGATCAGCTTGGGTCCTGTGCCCCACCTCCTTGGGGCCAGGAAAGTCAGAGCAATCTGATTGACACTACCACCAAAACCACACCCAATGGGGAGGGCTAGTCCTCAAAGACCAGTTTCGGTGCTGGTACCAGATCAAGAGGGAAGTGGATGCCAGGCAGTGTGCACCCCATGCCCAGCACAGTTCCTGACTCATAGAAGCTTCAGAATTATTAAGTGGGATAACGTGATGGAGGTTTCCACTCGGCACAGTCATGTATCCATTGCAGTCATCAAGATGGAGTTGCAAAACATTCCCCTTTGTCATGGACAAAAACGTGTCAAGTTGGCTAGGCCATGATTCCCAGTACAGTGTGATTGTCCACCATTTTGTCATCTGATGTGATTTTCCTGTGTGTTGTAAATTCTACCTCTATGATGTTAATGAGGCAGGACTCAATCTACAAGATTAGGTTGTGTCTTAAATCAATTTCTTTTGAGATATAAAAGAGAGAAGCCGGTAGGCAGAGGGACCTCATATTACCAAGAAACAGCCAGGAGATTAGGGTGTCCTTTGGACCCAGGGTCCCTGTGCTGAGAAGCTCTTCAACTGGGGAAGATTGAGAACACGGACCTTCCCCCAGAGCCAACAGAGAGAGAAAGCCTTCCCCTGGAGCTGGCACCCTGAATTTGGACTTCTAGCCTCCTAAACCGTGAGAGAATGAATTTCTCTTTGTTAAAGCCATCCACTTGTGCTGTTTCTGTTAAGGCAACACTAGATAACTAAGACACCCTTGAAAACGGGAACCAGACAAGGATGCCCTTTATCACTACTCGTATTCAATATTGTATTGGAAGTCCTAGCAAGAGCAATAAGGCAAGAAAAGGAAATAAAGGGCATCCAAATTGGTAAAGAAGAAGTAAAAATATCCCTATTCACAGATGATAAGACCCTATACATAGAAAATCCTAAGGATTCCACAAGAAAGCTAGTGGAACTAATAGAAGAATTTAACAAAGTGGCAGGATACAAGTTCAACATACAGAAATCAGTTAGATTCCTCTACATAAACAAAGAGAACTTTGGAAAGGAAATCAAGAAAACAAATACCATTTACAATAGTCTTCCAAAAGATAAAATACTTAGGAATAAATCTAACCAGGGACGTAAAAGATTTATACAAAGAAACTACAAAACACTACTGCCAAGAAACCAAAAGAGACCTACATAAATGGAAAAACATGTTGTGCTCTTGGACAGGAAGACTTAACATTGTGAAAATGTCAATACTACCCAAAGCGATATATAAATATAATGCAATCCCAATCCAAATCCCAACAGCATTCTTCAACAAGATGGAAAAACTAATCACTGACCTTATATGGAAGGGAAAGAGGCCCCAAATAAGTAAAGCTTTATTAAAAAATAAGAACAAAGTAGGAGGCCTCACACTACCTGATCTCAGAACCTACTATACAGCCACAGTAGTCAAAACAGCCTGGTACTGGTACAATAATGGACACATAGACCAATGGAACAGAACTGAGAACCCAGACGTAAATCCATCCACCTATGGACAGCTGATCTTCGACAGAGGACCAAAGTCTATTGACTGGAGAAGAGACAGCCACTTCAACAAATGGTGCTGGCAAAATTGAATATATATCTGTAGAAAAATGAAACAGGATCCAAACCTCACACCATACACAA